TCCCCGCCGGCAGCAGCGGCTCGCTCTGCAGCAGCTCCTCTTCCTCTTCTTCATCCTCCTCGTCCTCCTCGTCCTCTCCAGCGCGGCTTTTGCCAGCGTGCGCACGCCCGCCCCGATCTCGGCTCCCTAGCCCGTCCCGGTCGCTCGGGCCTCCATGGCCGGCGGCGGCAGCAGCAACCTGGCGTGCGGGCCAGGCTGGAGGGGGAACCCTGGGAACCCGGCGGCCGCGGCCCAGAACAGAGAGCCAGCGCCCGGGACGGACGGCGGCCCGCAAGGCCCACATGCCGCGTCCCTGCAACGCGAAGGGGCGGGGCCTACGCGGGGGCGGGGCTACCTGCGGGTCACTATTGGCTGGATGTAGTCACGTGCGCGCTAGGGGCGGGGAGAGGAGGAGCGGGCGCGAGGGGTCTTTTGTCTGCGCAGCAGAAGGTGGCGAGCGGGGTTGTGTACCGGGGGGCACACCAGCAGCCGGCGTCCGGGCGTGAACCCGAGTCCCAGCCAGGGCGCGGGTCAGCGAGGCCGAAATACTAGCGGGGGTGGGGGCTGCGATCTAGGCCCGGCGTCTGCACCTGGTCGGAGCCCGGCCAGGGCCCGGTCACCTACACAGGGTCAGAATCCACTGCGGCATGCGTGGTCCACCCCGGGCCGGGTCCGCTCAGGATCCGAGGTCTATACCGGGCGCCCCGGACCCCTTCATTTCGTCTTCCCTTTCCCTGCCGCTCCGGCTCGGCCCCTGCGTTCGGGAACGCCAGCCCCTTCTCTGCACGCAGCCCTTGCAGGAGGGGACGCTGGCCGGCCACGCCCGTCCCCCTGTCCCGCGCTCTGGGAGGCCGAGGCAGGAAGATCCGCAGCTCACCGAGGTGGGGGCGCGTCTGACCCGGGCAGGACCAGGGCGGGCCCTGGTGTCACTGCCCTGGCAACAGAGCCGGGCACACGCTCGCCCGGTCCCACTCCTGGGATTGGAGCCGTGGGGTAGGAGGTGGGTGGTGCACATGTGACTCGGGAGGCTTAGGCAGGAGAGTGTGCGTTCAGGGGTCAGTGTGGCCCTGGGCTCCGACCCGGCCTGCAGAACCGCAGCCCGGCCGGTGCCGCAGAGGCGGGAGGGTTTCTCAGCAGAACCCTCGGCTCCTCCGCGGGCGGGGACGGAAGCGCGCCGCAAATCCCCGCAGTGACATGGGATGCGCGACCTCGTCTTTGGTTTCCAGCCACCTCTGCACAGGTCTGGTCCAAAGCGGATCGGACCAGCGCCGAATCCGGTGCCCCGAGCCCGGTCCTGCGCCGGAGCCCACCTGGGGGTGCCGCCCCGCCACACCCCGCGCGCCTCAGGATCCCCAGAGCTCAGGGCGACCGCCTGCACGGGGGTTGGGGCGCACGACGACCGGGACCTGTTCAGGCTTTGCCTTGCGCAGGACCCGGAATCTGAACCGCGCCGTGTGCAGGGCTCGCGCGGGGCGACACCCACCCTGCCGCCCGGGCGGAGCCGGCCGCGCGCTCGCCGTGGCCCTGGTGGCCGCGAGGTGTGGCCCTCTTCGGGCCGGGCTTCATGCAGAACCAGCCCTGCCCCGCCAGCTACGCTGCCGGCTGCACGAGCCCCGCACTGTAAAATCCTTCAACCCTTTATTTAAAGCGTGTGCGGGGTCCGGCCACGCGCAGCCGGCCTCACGCGGGGTCCTGGCACAGGGCTCCTGTGGCAGCCACGCTCCAGGCCGGGGACGCCCCGAGGTCCCAGCCCGCCGTGGACACAACGCCGGCGTCACCGCGGTGCCAGCGTCCAGGCCGCGGGTGGCCGGCGAGCGTCTGCGTGCCAAGTCCCCCAGGCTGACCCGGGCCGCGGGAGCCACGCGGGTCCTCCCGGGACGGCAGGGGGGCGTCGGCGGGGACAGAGCCGGCTCGTCACAGCGGCTCCAGGTCCTCGTCCCCGCACGCATACTCGTACAGGTCCACGTCCCCGGGGGCCGGCGCCCCAAAGCCCGGCCTCTGCGTCCGGGACCGCAGCGGCCCCAGCTTCTGCTCCACGGGGCTCAGCGCCACCTCAAACCTGCAAAATGGGCCAGCGCGTGGGGGGCGTGCGGTGGTCTCCAGGGCGGCTGCAGGTCAGGCAGGACGGGCAGAGCGCCCCAGCGTGGGTGCGCAGCAGGGAAGGGGCGTGGCTAAATCCGGCAGGAGGGGCCAAAGCGCCCCCAGTGGGGCGGGCTGGTGGGCGTGGCCAGGCGGGGGCGTGGCCCAGGTGGGCAGGGGACGCGAAGACGGGGCGGGGCCAGAGCAGCACGAGGGGCACGGATGAGGCTAGAGCTCGCCCGGTGGGCGGGCTGATGGGCGTGACCAGCCGGGGGAGTGGCGAAGGCGGATGGGGCGGGGCCAGAGCACAACAGTGGGCGTGACAGACGGACGTGGCTAGGCAGGGGGTGTGGCTAGAACGCGCCCAGTGGGCGGGCTGATGTATGTGACCGGCTGGGGGCGTGGTGAAGGCGGACGGGGCGGGGCCAGAGCAGCACAGTGGGCGTGACAGACGGACGTGGCTAGGCAGGGGGTGTGGCTAGAGCGCGCCCGGTGGGCGGGCTGCTGTACGTGACCAGCTGGGGGCGTGGCGAAGGCGGACGGGGCGGGGCCAGCGGCCAGGAGCTCGGAGGCGCGCTGGGCTGCAAGACCCAGGCCCCGAAGGCGGCGGGGTGGCGGCCTGACTCAGCCTCCCGGCCTGGCCGCGCACGCCCCGCGCCCCACACTCACCCATCCTCCCAGGCCTCGCCTGCGGCCTCCTCGGCCACCAGCACGTCGTACTCCTCGGCGGCGAAGCGCTCCCAGTCGGAGAGCTCGGGGCCGTCCCCGTCGCCATCCTGCGGAGGACAGGGGACAGGGGTCAGGAGCGGCGGCGACGCGCGCGGACAAGGGGCGCGCGGGTGCCAGGCTCACCCTGAGCAGGGCCGCCTGCTCGCGCTGCTCGTGGTCCAGGTACTTCTCCACGTTGAAGAAGGTGTCGAAGAAGACGTGCGCCATCTTGCAGCGCTTCAGGTCGTGCAGCGTGACCCTGCCTGCAGCGCGAGGGGTCGGGGTGCGCGGTTGGGTGGCCGTCCGGCTGCAGACCCGCCCCCGCGCCCCCGCGCCCCCGCGCCCACCTGGGCTCCGCGGCTTCACCAGGTCCAGCATCTGGCACAGGCAGTCGCGGAAGGGCAGCGGCTCGATGCCCAGCCCGTCCAGCCGCCGGCTCTGCTCCTCGTAGAAGAACTCGAGCTCGAACATGGACAGCGCGCCGTCGCCGTCCAGGTCCATGCAGCGGAACCAGTACTCGATGCTGCGGGACAGCGAGGCGCAGGTGGGACGCCGGGCGGGGACCGCGGCACCCCCACGCCCACCTGCCCCCCCG